ATATGTATAATGTATAATAATAAATAAATATATATATATATATATATACATATAGAAGACACTCCTACACCAGTAAAATATTGTTTTTTAAATATATTGCTTAGTTATATAGACTTTTGATGAATATTATTTTAATTAATTAATATTATATTTAAATTATTTTTCTCTTCTTCACCTTTTGCAACATCACAAACGAAGATGTTGCCGTCTTCACAGCCAACTGCTAACTGCGTACCAGACGGAGACCAAGCTATAGTGTTTATTGCTTCAGGTCTCCTGCAATAAAAATAAACAAATAATTAATTAATTAATTAATTAATTAATTAATTAAAATAGATTTTATTCACATTTGCAAAAATAAAGAAAAATGCTGTTTTCGTTGCTATGAAGTTTTTTAAAAGTTTAAAATTAAAAAGTTAGAGGTGATATATCTTATAAACAAGATATACATAATATATATACATATATATATACACACCTTTCACATATATATATATGAATATAAATATATATATATATATATATGTATGTATATACTGCACGTAAGCGAATATAAAAGTACGTCTTAATATTTAAAAAAATAAGTATATGCGCAAATGAACATATTTATGTATATACATATATATTTATTTATATTTATTTATATAAATAAATATATAAATCTATATATTTATTTATTTATTTATTTATTTATATATTTATTTATTTTACCTGAGTGAAGAAGTGCGCGTCCACCACTCCGAGTATTGTAAGACAGAGGCATCAACACCGAGAGGAGCACTATCAGGTTTATTAGTTTTAACCCAGAGACAAACAGCATTATCTGAAGGAATAAAATACAATAAAATCTATATAATTAATTTAATAGTATTCATTAAATATCATTTAAAAAGATATGCTAGTTACTTCTATGCTATACCTGCATGTACACACCGCTACTAGCGGTATTGCAGCTGCAGCATTTAATTATTTATATCAACCCGCAAATTATTATATTTTATTTATTTATTAACCTTTTATTATTATTATTATTACTTCATTAAACCTTATTATTCATATTCCTGTCTACTATTAGTAGTATCTCTTATTACAACAGCAACAGCTGTACGTACACCGTATATCCAGAATAATAATAGCAATAATAATAATTATTATTACTATTACTATTATTATTATATAGTGATACACGCATTTAACTTCTTTCTCTTTATTAGGGCTTTTATTTATTTTTTATTTATTTATTCATTCTAAATAAACTAAAATAAAACACAGCACTCATCACTGCCTAATGAAGTTAATATACTTCCTCCTGTTTAACAAATAAATCTATTTATTTATTTGTTTGTTTATTTTTTCTAAATACAACAAAGTTAAAAACTAAACTAAAGACTTACTACTGCCTCATCAAGCTAATAAATAAACTTCCTCTGGTCTTGCAAACAAATATTTTATTTTATTCTCGTTAAAATAACTAAATAAACAAATAAACTAATTAATTAACTAATTAATTAATTAATTAATTAATTAATTAATTAATTAATTAACAAATGACCTACCACTCCCGCCTGAAGCTAATATACTTCCTTTTGGATGCCACCTAACGCAATTAACTTCTTTCTCATGACCAACAAGTCGCGACAAACAATTCACAGAAATTGCACCCGATGAAAAATCTATTGCCCAAAGCTGCAATTAAAAACAAACAAAAAAATATTTATTTAATTAGTTACTTATTTATTTACTTGTTTATTTATTTATTTATTTATTGGTTGTTTATTTATTTATTTATTTATTTGCTTGTTTGTTTATTTATTTATTAGTTTATTTATTTATTTTGTGTGTTTGTTTATTTGTTTGTTCGTTTTTTTATTCATTTATAAGTTATAAATTAATTCTTTTTATTAGGGGTTCTAATAAAAAGAAGCAATAAACCGAGTGTAAATAAATCAACAATAAATAAATAAATTTATTAATAAATAAAAAATAATAAATAGATAATTATTAATAATAAATAATAAACTGTAAATAACAGACAAATGAACAAACAGGAATTAAAAAACAACTAATAATAAATGAATGATAGTAATAATAATAAAGAAATAAATTATTATTTATTATTAGACAAATAAAAATAAATTTAAAAATAATAGACTATGGACAAATAGCAGCAGAAGATAAACTATACACAATTCTTCATAAATAATAGATGAAACGCAAAGAAATGAAAATAAATAAACAATAAACAACAAACAATAAACAACAGAATATAAGCGATGCACCCTAAACCCTAAACCCTAAACCCTAAACCCTATGAACGAGGCCCTCACATGTACGAATTCATCAGCACCTGCAGTTGCAATGCGGTACTGCTCTTGACCTTCTGCTGCTCCTCCTGTTGCTGTGGTGCTGCTGCTGCTGCTGTTGCTGCTGTTGCCGCTGCTGCTGCTGCTGCTGCTGCTGCTGCTGCTGGGCTGTACGTCTACTGAATACACCCGATCAGCGAGTCGGTTGTTTTTGCAATGCCAAAGAACTTGTGGAAGAAATATCTGCGGCATCTCCTCTTTATTATTTGATTTCTTGTTGAAGTTTAATTTATTTAAATAAATATATTTTCTTCCTGTGTTGCTGGCTTACAAGGTACAGGTTTATTATTAAATATGAATCCTTGGGGTTGTTGTTAAGAAAGAATGAAGTTAAAGAAAATATTATAAAGACAAGCAAACTATACAGATGTTTATTCTCATGCAGTGTATATCCGCCTGTTGCTCTACATACGGGGATTGCTGCTGCTGAACGATGCAGCAAATTGCTGCTGTTGCTGCTGCTCCTGCTCCCGCTGTTGCTGCTGTTGCTGCTGGCTGCAGCAACAGCAAAATGGGTTGTTAGAGCGTATTGCATGCATACACTGCCTAGATAATGTTGATAATAATGTAAATATATGCAAAATATGAATATATCTTTGGGTGGTAGTATGAAGCATGCAGCAGGTGTGTATACACCCCAACAGCAAAGGAAGAAGTTGCAAAGGAAAGCGCAGAAAAAAAAACAACCGTTGGAACTTCTTTAATTTAATTTTAAATTAAATTTAATTATTATTTGAAGCGAATTTTCATTCAAATGTTTTTTATTGATGTTCTTTCTTCACAATCGGTGTGGAGAGGCGGGGGTGTTGATGAAGAAGAGGGTGGTTCATGTTGCATGCATTTGTAATTTTTTTAGAGATAAATCCGCTAGAAAAGTATATTTAAACAATTAAATTCATTTAAAAGCAATACTAATGTATTTATTCTCATAAATATTAATTTATAAATGCAAAAAAATTCGAGGGAATGCTTCATGAAGTCGATAACTGGGGCTGGATATCGCTGTGAGTTATTCAACTAAGCGAAAGAAATAAATTATTTGCACAATAATATTCAAACACATAAATATTTTAACTTAATATATTTAAATTTCCTTTTTATGATATTACGAACAAAAATATCGGAGAGAGAATGTATATACACCGCAGGGTTGCCTGTGCTTAAAACTTCCTTGATGCTGCTGCTGCTGCTGCTGTTCCTGCTGTTGCTCCTGTTGCTGCTGCTGTTATTATTGCTGCTGTTGTTGCTGCTGCTGTTGCTGGTCTTTGTTATTATCAGCAAATCCTTTTTAATTTAATTATATTATTTTTAATTCTCTTCCCTTCTAGTCTTTACCCCTTCTTAGTTTGTAATACTGCGCGTTATTATTAATTATTGCGAAGTGTATATTTATGCATGCATACTGCAAGCGATGATAAGCAATTAAGAAAAAGGTTTATATGAATTTAACAGAGAAAAGCTAAATATTATAAAAGATATATCACACGTTTTGTTTGCTTGTTAGATTTTCTGACAAAGCTGTTTAGACTTTGTTGTTTGCACAGATAATAAATAAATAATTTTCATTTGAACTCTACAAAATATATTTCGTTTGTGTCTGTATATTCCTCTTTAAAAGGCGTGCAATGCTAGTTGCTGTTATATTTTTAAATTTTAAAAGAAAAGCAGAGAAGAAGGAGAAAGATAAAGGTCTAAAGAAAGAGAGTTACACCAAGACAAACAAAAATATAAAAACAAACAAAACGGTATATTCATCAAACATAATTAGCATCATTTCATTCGCATCAAGAGGCGCTGCATGCAGAATATATATATATATATATATATATTCTGCATGTATTTATTTATTTATTTATTTACAATATTATATTCAACTG